GATCGGGGCGAATATAAATTGTCTCTGAGGTACAACAAATATCGTAACAAAAGTTTAAATAGCTTGTTAATTGATCACAGAAAACGGAAGGGTTGGGATCAGGAAACAAAGTAAGCTCGGAGTGTCTGATCATTTACCTTAACATCGTGAGGTTTTCTGGAGAATGCTGTCTTTTTTTAAGCTTGTGATCACGACTTCGAGTAAAGAGACGATGGTTCGTTCTGCTAAAGATGGCAGGGGAAAACTGCAACATAGAATGATCAGACATTCCCAGTGGGGGACGGTGTTCTACAAGTAAATTGGGGAGGTTGATAAAATCCAAATCCAGATGTGCGTCCAGCCTAGTGGGAAAGGTAATCATGTTTTGAATACCTAAGGTGGTTAAGAAACGGGTATCGGAATTATTGAAGTCATCACGAATGATACAGACTGAAGAATCTACATATTCAATCAGTATAGTTGAAAGAGTTATAAAGTAAATTGACCAAGAGGGGGCTATATACACATTTACAAAAATAAGTGACCGAGAAAAGCTGAAGCGTTTGGGCTTATATTGAATTATTGATGCGTTTATATAACGTGTGGAGAGAAAGCACATTTTTGGTTAGATAAAACCACTGATTTTTGACAAACATGATGACGTCACCTCCACGTCGGGAATAATGAAAAGGACGATCGACACGATAGCTCACGAATCCATCCAGGTGTATTATTTCATCCTCAATTTCATTGTGGAGCCAACTTTCTTGTAGCATGATCACACCCAGTTGGGCATATTCCCGTTGTTTGATTAAGCTGGTGAGATCGGTCATCTTTCCGATAAGAGATCGGACGTTAGAGCTGAGAATGATGGGAACACTCATACGCGGGATGGTTTGTTTCCGAAGAGCAACTTCCCAACCGGCTCGGTGCTTCCTCAGATTTTTCAGGAGCTTCCTAAACGTCCTTTGGTTTTATTCCATATAGTCCTCCCAAAAGAGTTTGTAGCTACACATTTGGTCCACTTGATTGAATGCATAAAATCCCGGATGTATTTGATAAAATCTGTCATTACTGTGGTCGCACAATTGTTGGCTTGGCAACCAAGGTGAAAGTTCATGCGAATGATGCAATAGAGCTCAGACACAGTTGTGGTTATGCAGTGAATAATGCGATGATGAAAAAAAACGGATAGCCAGGCCAAAATTCGAAGGCCTCGCCATTGGCGCCCACGCGACATCCGGCTGTCTGTGAAGGGTCAAGCGTATGCCGTAGCGCTTCGGCCGGTGCTGCTATATGAAGCAGAAATTTGGCCATTACGAGAACAGTGTTAGGACACTGTTAGTGTTCAAACACCACTTTCTATGCAGCATTTCACGATTCTGGTATGGAAACCGGGAGAGCAATATTGAGGTTAGAAGCAGACTTTTAGGCGGTTGTTCACTGGATAAAGTTGGTGAGGGTATGTATCATGCATGTCATCAAATAGGCTGCCACGGCGTGCAATGTTTGCCGAGGCGGATAGTGTGTGGAATAAAGCTATAAGCGGTCAAACCAAGACCTGGCAGGAGGGTATGAAAACCCTAACCAAGAGAGGGGGTCACATAGGTCCTGTTAGCCTCCCTGGCTGGGGACCTTGATGGGATCGTAAGAAATGGTCAGAGAAACTGAGTGATATGGTTGAGTGTCAAGTTAAGTCAAGAAACGCCTAATGCACCCAAAAGGGGTGATTTTCAGCAATTCACGATTTTACCATGGATATGCAAAACGAATTTTGAACAATAATGAAGACAATAGAAGAAATTCTTTATTTTTGTGAATGAGACAAAAAATTAGTGCAACAGGTTTTCCTTGAGGTGGATGAGAATAGTGTTACGATTAACCAATAACCGCCCAAGATATGAAATTACACTGTTTCTATATGTGAAAATACGTGTAGGAATGAGTTGATATTTGGGTCGAGTTACGGGAACTCGACAGGGCTTTCACGATAACTCGGTGCAGGCAGTGCCTTTGATTACGTGTTAGCCTGTCAATACGGGTATTCTAAGCTTCGAGATGCTTGAAAATATAGAAATCAACCAGAATAACTCTATCAACTCTACTGTAGCTGGACAAAGGTTTAAGGGATCTCGAAAATAAAGAGAAGTATTTTTCTTTCAGTCCAGGGATGAAAATCGGGTAGCAGTATAGCCAGTGTGGAAGAATGCAGGCAATCACAAATATAATAATAAGATTATGCGGTACGGCCAGTTTCCTGAGCCTATATGCATAAAATGACCGTTTCCGAACGTTTGTGAAAACGCTGATGACATGAGCAAAACATGACAGGTTATAGGTTAGGGTGACACCCAAGTATTTAACAGATACAGGTTTGGGGATACTTTGATTGTTAACTATATTATCGGGGAGAGTATTTACTGGTGAAATGTAATGGTAACCGGTTTTAAGACTAAATGGAAATTCTATGCACTTATTGATGTTAACCTCAAGGGTTCAGAGCACGAACCAATCGTGAAGTTCATTAAGACTGTCCTGGAAAGGTCGAAAACTGTGTGAACTAGGTGATGGAAACCAGTGACGTTCGTGGATCTTCTCAACGTCTTTGCTACCTTAGTCCACAGTTCTCCATTTTACTGTCTTCAACACTGCTTTATACTTTCTTATCTTTCCTGTACGCTTCCATTCAAATGAACAGTCTTGAGACGGCAACCAAAACCGCCGAACGAAAGTAGACGGTTGCACAAACTGAACTGAACTCTATATTTCTGTCTGCAGATTTTGTGACACATGACTTATTTCATTCAATGAAACACACATTAGAGAAGCACCAAAACTTGAATTAGGTATCCACTAGACCCCAGCAGTAATACATATCTATAGTGGCCTAAAGCGCGGTTTGAATTAGCCTAAACACAGTATGTGGAGGAAGTGAGAATCATATGTCAATACCGAGTCTGACGAATTGTGAATCAGACGTGAACTGATACTTTTTACACCCTTGATCACAGGTAAGTACGAACTAAAACACAAATCCTACTTCGTATTTCGAAATAGGCTTTTCCTGAGTTGGGCACTACCTTCCACTGTTCACACGATATGGCCATTAGAAGAAGCATTTGTTTGAACAATCGGTCATGGACTGCTGGGTCACGTGAGCAATGATCAGCTGATACTGAGGGATAAGCGGAGAAGCACATGGATGAACAGGTGACTGTTTAAAACGAGAATCATTGATCCGTTAACGGGACAGTAATGAAAAAGTGAGAGGTAAAACCGGAATGCGCAAGCAACTTGTAAGTTTCTGAAGTTCTTTGTGATGCACAGGCAAGTGACACAGTGAGCAGTCAATAATCCGTATTACGCATTATCTAATGACTAGTCAATGAGAAGTTGTCGTTTGCTGAGACCAGTGGTGACAGAAACAACTATAATTCAAACAAGTCTTCAGAACACATCCACACTCACTTTAGCTGAACTATTGGCTCGATTTCCATTACGTCGTCCGCTGTATATACAAGAAAGTGGAGCATTGTGCTATCAACTGATTGGACAGCTTCAGGACAATTTATATCATTTTTCTCAACCAAAGGATAGAACCTCTTTGAAATTTCCCACTTTAGGCAATATTTGGATTACCGACAGTGGAGTTGCTTTTGTGTACTCGTCCTCGGCGAGTTGTCCACTCTGGTCCGACTGGTTGGTTGCACTTGCACAAACACTGGGTCATCACACGTTGATCACCGACACACACGAATCGCATACATTCCTATCGCTTATCGACAATCTGAGCCAACCCTATCCAGGTGTACAACAAGTTTTGGAACGTGTAAAAATTTGGCAAACTACCTGTTTGTTTCTTTGTTCTCTATACCCGGCCAATCAAGAACCAAATATCACACACTTGCTGGAAAGACTGCAACATCGAAGTAGAAAAGCTTATGCGTCAGTGCTGTGCGGTGAGGAACTGCATGATAAGCATCTGTTCCCCTCAAAAATGCAAACAGAGTACGAACGATTTACTCGAGAAAACATGATCACATTTGATCGTCACAATATGTCTACATCCAAACTCCCAACTGCCGATCAATTGTCTAATTCCACCAATCGTGACGCATTCAACAGTTGGGTTGAACGATGGAAGTACGTGAACGCGGAATTTTTGGCACGACAACTAGTTCGTCAAGGTTCAAATACAACTAGACATGATTGTAAGAAAGCCAAACAGAAGATATGCGTTGCCGAGACAGAATCGTGTTCTCAGTCCAACCCGTGCATGAATGAAGTTATTCAACCAGTACAATCCCTGTTTGAGTTTGACGAATTAGACCCATCCTCCGTATCGTTTCAAAAGGCTTGCATGCGCACTCTGAAATCTATGTATTCCAGTTTGATCGGTCGACCGTTATCCTTGTTACAAAACGGTCTTAAAGATGTGCGACTACATTTGGGTCCGGGAGTGATACAGAGCGGCACGGTTGTCGAGACACTACAAGGATTGGATCGTCTCCTGCGAAGTTCCGATCAGATGTCAAATAGTTCAGCTACAGGAATAAGGCTACCATCTTTGCCGAGTTCAAAAACATTGTAATGCATAATGTCTACGGTTCTCAATTTAGTCAAGTTCGACGCAATCTGTAATGGACTGTCTATCCTGTGAAAAGCATTCCAACACGCTTTAAAGTAAAAAAATACCACCACACCTTGATAAATGGTACCTTCTAAATCTCTCATTGCTTATAGATTTAAAAGCTGTACGCGAAGTGGGGAATTCTAGAAAAATTCTGTAGATTCACGCGAAGCATTACAATCAATGTTCAGACAACCACAGCGAGATTAACAGAACTACTCATAAATTTCTCTCTCCCTCTCTTCGAGAGAGAGGTGCATATTATTCCGTGGTTAACTCTAACGAAAGCCTCATTTTGAATCACTGAAGTGCTCCAATTTCATTTGTGGTTCAATGAACTGGCTATGCTCGTAAAACATTGCATCAGATCGACGTTATGCGGACACATGCGTCAGCAATTCATCCTACACAAACGTCCATTGTTAATCTTACTACAAGCTTTTGCTGATAGTAGTATATCTCTTAATACGAAATAATACATATGCCAGAGCCAACTCAGCTCTGTCATTTTGTGTTCGAAATGGGGTGCTTCATATGATATGAATATCTTGAATAAATTTTACAATAATAAACCCTCATCTGATATTATTAATGAGTAGTATTTCATAAAAAGCGTGATTGCACTGCCCAAAACCAAAGAGTCTCCTGCTGCGTGGCTATTATCAAACGATTAGTTGTAACTGTGCGGCTGTTTGGCTGTTTTTTGTGACTACTCTTCAGCATTTGATTCCGTTCCTCGATCAAAGTTGCCACAGAAGCTGGAACCATTTGGGTGCCCTAAAAGATTGTTATCTTAGCTACCCAACTATCCTAACGATAGAGTGCGAACTAACTGATAGATGAAACCTTCATCTTGGTTGCTGATGAGACCCAAACGGGTAGAACCATCTGTGCAGTTTTTCTTGGCTTGTTAATTACTGTTTCACTAGATATGTGGGGAAGGTTTGAATGCAGCCATCTTGGATCAAGTGTCAGTTGCGAGCATGTCTCACTGAAACTTAGCATTCCTGATTGTCTTTGAACTTTCCCTGTCTTTCCGGTTGCTTTTAAGTCCCTTCACAGATAACATAGTGTCCTACCTGTGGCGTGAGAGTGTCCATGAGTAGCTAGAGATTGTGGGCGGATTTCGGGACCAGGCTAGAGGTAGAGGAACTCGAACTGCGTTGCCTGCATTCAACCTCCTACCAGTGCTTTGGGTGAACTCAGAGCCGAGGTCGGGCGTGTATATATGACACAATCAGATCAGATCATCCACTACCCTCGTGAACTTAAGATATATATTGAAATGAAAAATTTTGAACCATTTTCGTGTGTTCATGGATCAGCTCAGTGGTTTAAACCATTTTGCAGTATAGGAAACTTACCACTGCTGCGCATGATCACATGCGTTGTAGAAAAATCGTGCAATTTATTACCATATCATCAGAAAACAATACGATGTCGCACATGAAATCGAAGTATTTATGTTAATCGAGAGAGAGCTGAAGGTTCTCCTGGTGTCCGATTGCAGGAAATATACTACTTTAGATAAACTAAATACAATGTAGCTAAACTAGACAAAAACAAGCTTAGTGTCCTCGGTCAGTGTGCTCTGAATTGGATGCACATTGATTGGCTTGCAAACTCCACAATTAAGCCTGAACACAAGTCATGGAGCATGAGGTATGGAGCTATTGAGGCGTGGTCGTCCAACGCGAGGAGGGGGCGTGTTGCTGTGCTATCATAACAGCTTGCAATGCGAGTAAATTGAGTGCCCGTTCGCTGCTTCGGATACGTTATGGTGTAAATTGAGGCTAACATAACATGATATCGGGCTGATCGGTGTAGTTTATCGCCCACCTTCGTCAGCAGATTCATCAAATGAGACTTTGTTGCAAACAATGTCTTACTTCTTGTCATCGAATTTCACCCACATTCTTGTTATGGGTGACTTCAACTGTCCAAAGCTGAGCAACGTGAATACATCGTGTACGCCATTTGAACATTTGATGCAGTTCATCCAGTCACGTCCGTTGTACAATCATGTGAAGAAACCCACCAGTTTTGGAACAGATCAAAAATTTAACTTTGGATCTACACCTTTTCCCATCAAACTTTAGCCAAAACCCGCAATGCTTTAGCCACGACCCGCAGTCCTTTAGCCTCGACGCAC